AAAAGAGCCACATCTGGTTGATTGATTACTTGAGCATCGGCTTGCTCGTTAGCAGCACCCACCCAGCCAATTAAACTCATCAATTGACAGCCATTGCAAATACCCAAAGAGAAGGTATCTTGACGTTTCTTAAAGGCCTGGAATTGAGGCACCAGCAATTCACTAAACATAATATTGGCAGCCCAACCCTTGGCAGAGCCCAAGGTATCAGCATAACTGAAACCACCGGGGAAAATAAGACCACGATAACGATCCAAAGTGGTTTTACCTGTAAACAAAAGAAAAACAAGCAATTTAATTTTCTAAACTGTTTAAAACTAACGCAAAATTTACGTACCACTTAACAAATCCGACATGGTAACATCATGAACCTCGAAATTGGCCTTTAGCAAACAAGCCATCATTTCACGATCACTGTTAACACCTTCTTCTCTTAAAACAGCCACGGGCACAGAGCAAGCAGCACGTTTCACCACCAATTCTGAACTTAAGTCTACAGTACAGTTGTATTTGGGACCAGTACGGTACTCCAAGGTATTAAACTCTTCAATGGCACAGTCGACATTAGCTTGCAATTTCTCCAATTCAAAACTAATACGTTCCCATTGTTTGTACAGCGACTTAACGGAATTTTGTACTAAAGTTTTACCATTACAGGCAATTTTTATGTTAGATTCCAGACCATAAGACTTGGTAGAGCCAATCAAATGGTTGGGAACACCAGCCTGGGTAAAGGCATTTTGTACTCCTTTAACATCAGCAGTAGCAACTTCCAAAACCCAACCACATTCCTCAGCATAAAGAACAGCTAATTCAGGCATATTTTTACAGGAGTTGTCCACATTTTGTGCAGATATCTTAGCCAAGGCACTGGTCAAGTCTACTACTTCAAGGCCGCTAAGACCAGCTAACGCCATTTCCAAAACACACACCACTAAACCACCCTCACTAATGTCATGACCAGCCCAAAGTTTGCCTTCGGACAAAAGTTTTTGGGTAACATTGAAAGCTTGTACCAAAACCTCACTTTCTTTGAGATTGGGACATTCACTGCCTTGTTGGCTAAAGACTTGAGCCAATGCACTGCCACCCAAACGGAATTTATTTTCAATATTCACCCAAATCAAAGAGGTTTCCAAGCCATTCAAAGGACCCTTAAGATCAGGGGTGATTTTAACATTTACATCTGGACAAGGGGCATAAGTAGATATAACCAAAGTGCCGGGAGATTTAATAGTCTTGCCACCAACTTTAGCTGCCATGGACAAAGAATCTTTGCCACCATCTACAGCAATTCTAAGCTCCTTCATGATTTGACACATTTCCACACAGGCATCATACATACGAGCGCCCTCGCCGGCAACTTAGCAGCCCACATCCAATTGCCGGAACACTTAACATCAGCCAATTCGCTGATCTTAACAAACACCAAATTGGATAAAGCCTCAGCCACACTCATGCGAGCCATGGCACCCGCATCCAAAAGACCCTTAATAGGTTGTGTGCCTATAGAAGTGGCAATACCTTCAGTGCTAAAATGAGACACCGTAACCAAACCAAAATCAGCCAATGGTGTATGCAAGGGACCCACACATTGTTGTTGAGCTATTAAACCGGTAACACAACGATCGACCTTGTTGGTTAAATAACGTTTGCTGCCCACTGAAACCAAGCTTAGTACCTGTTCCAAGCTCTTGCTATAATCGAAATTACTTTCGAATTGCAAAGGCAATAGATTATTGTTCAAACGTTGCAACTGATATTCACGCTTGGGCATTTCACCTAAAAACATGTTTCAATTCCAAATCAAAAGGTACTGGCCCCATAGCGGTGGCCTCATTGTTAGCACTTAAAGCCTTTTCAAAATCGGCCTCACTTTCAACTAAAGTAACACGACCATCTCCCGTTACCACACCCAAAAACTAATGGGACAACGTTCTCTTTCACAAATTCTCTCCAATAAGGCACGATCTTCAGGTTTGCAGAGTATAGCATCGTTTTCTTGATACTCAGCTCCCCATAATTCCAAAGCATTAATAGTGGGATCACCCAATTGGAATTCCTTGGAGAAAATAATAGCACCAGCAAAGCCAGGCTCAACCAATTCTTTTAAAACATTACCATTACCACCAGCACCTGTAAAAATTAAAAAAAAGGTTATTTTCAAATTAATAACAAATTATATGCATCTAAACTTACTTGATCATGTATGGCCAGTATGGGATTTTTATCTCCCATTTCTATGCAAGCTCTGACCACACGATTCAATTTATTTTCCATTTCAGCGTCGCCACGTTGCACAGCATTGAATCTAAAGAAGAATCATTGGAGCCTTGTACCTCCACAGAACTGCAGCACCACCGCCCCACCACCGATACGATAAACTGGACCACCGATTTTAGCCAGTAAATTGCCTAGAATTAAATTAAATTTGAAAATTTCATCAAAAAAATATATCACAGAGTTCTCCTTTTCTTTCCCAATTTCAAAACTTACCTCTTTTAGGATCAATTTTCTGACGCATACTAGATTCCATAGTACCCATACCACCACTGAACATAATAGGTTTAACATATTCATCACGTTCGCCCTGAGCATTAGTCAAACCATATGAATTAACGAAACCGGTAATAACGGGTTCACCAAATTTGTTGCCATAATCCGAAGCACCATTACTAGCTTCAATAAGAACCTTCAAAGGCTTAGCGAAGGATGAGGGATATTCATAGTTGGCATTTTCATAGGTTCTAGGAAAACCTGAATAAAATAAGAAGATATTAAAATTTGTCTAAAGTTAAAATATTAAGCACTTACCAGGTATATTCAAAGAACCCACACAATAACCAGCTGTACCGGCAATGGGTATACCACCACGTCCCACACCTTGAACATCTCTATAAAATTGTATCAAAATTATTAATTAAATTTCGATTTCATAGTTTAAACTTGTTTCCTACCTCAAACGTCCACCTGTACCAGTGGTAGCACCACTGAAAGGAGCCACAGCTGTAGGCATATTATGAGTTTCGGCAGTATAAATTAAATCTGAATTCACAGTTTGCAATGAAACCATACCAGGACCGTCGAATACCTGAGGTCTAATGGTGACATGCTTAAAACCACGAATGGCACTACTGTTATCACTAAATTTAATAGTGTTATTGTCATTGGTATTCTTTTGTGTATCCATAATCATGCGTATCAAAGATTGAGGCTGTTCGACACCATCCACAATCATTTTGCCACGGAAGAACCAATGTCTAGAATGCTCACTGTTACTCTGAGCACAATCAAACAATTCCACGGTGGTGGGATTACGTTTGAGTACATTCTTAAAAAGATTTGTATAATAATCCAAATCCCAGTCACCAAAAGCTAGACCAAGTTTGGTGTTAACTTCTTCTAAGGCCTTGCGACCTTCTTCCAAAACTGGCACTTTATACCAGGACTCTTGAGATTGTGGTAATTGTTCGTTGAAACTATTGACGGGTAAATTTTCCTTAGTATAAGGACATTCAGTCATACGATCACTGAGCAAATCAACTAGTTGTTCAAGGTTAGGTTTCTCGTTCGAATAGCCAATGAGATAACGATCAGAGGCTTCTACACGGGTGACTTGGGTGAGACCCACATTTTGGCAAATATTAACACAGTTGGTAGAAAAGGCGGTGGAGAAATTGAAACGTGGTCCAATCTCTACTAAGAAGAGTTCTGCCTTTTCAGCGGATAATGTAGTTTTCTCATACAAACTGCTTTCATCGCCTTGTGGATGTTTGAGCAACCATTTCAATAAACTCTTAGCTTTAGGTTCGATGGCTGTAGTTGTCTCAACGTGATAACATTTTTCCACTTGCAGCGAGACAATGTTGGGAAATGCCTAAAAAATATGATTAAAATTTCAATACAATAAGAGTATTAAACTTTGGAAATTTTTCACTTCAAAAAATACATTAAAAGATTTAATTGAAAGATTAAACACTCAACATAAAGGAATCTCATTTACAAAGAAAAAGCAATATATCTATCTATCTATCTATCTATCTATCTATCTATCTATCTACCTATCTATCTATCTATCTATCTATCTATCTATCTATCTATCTATCTATCTATCTATCTATCTATCTATCTATCTATCTATCTATCTATCTATCTATCTATCTATCTATCTATCTATCTATCTTCTATCTATCTATCTATCTATCTATCTATCTATCTATCTATCTATCTATCTATCTATCTATCTATCTATCTATCTATCTATCTATCTATCTATCTATCTATCTATCTATCTATCTATCTATCTCTATCTATCTATCTATCTATCTATCTATCTATCTATCTATCTATCTATCTATCTATCTATCATCTATCTATCTATCTATCTATCTATCTTCTATCTATCTATCTATCTATCTATCTATCTATCTATCTATCTATCTATCTATCTATCTATCTATCTATCTATCTATCTATCTATCTATCTATCTATCTATCTATCTATCTATCTATCTATATCTATCTATCTATCTATCTATCTATCTATCTATCTATCATCTATCTATCTATCTATCTATCTATCTATCTATCATCTATCTATCTATCTATCTATCTATCTATCTATCTATCTATCTATCTATCTATCTATCTATCTATCTATCTATCTATCTATCTATCTATCTATCTATCTATCTATCTATCTATCTATCTATCTATCTATCTATCTATCTATCTATCTATCTATCTATCTATCTATCTATCTGTCTATCTATCTATCTATCTATCTATCTATCTATCTATCTATCTATCTATCTATCTATCTATCTATCAATCTATCTATCTATCTATCTATCTATCTATCTATCTATCTATCTATCTATCTATCTATCTATCTATCTATCTATATATCCTTAAATACAACCATACTCACATTTTTTAATTGTTTCAACACCTTTACACGATGAGCTTCTTCCCAAGCTTCATTTGAATAAAACGTAAAATAGCCATGATTTTAAATCGAGTAAATTACACGCACTAACGATCCAAATCAATGAAAACTGAAAATTCAAATGATTAAAATTACTGAAAGACGATCACCAGTTGAAATTATGAGATCAATAACAACATGTCTCAACACTCACACACAACAACAACACTTACAGGTTTCTATAATTGTTGTTTTCTTTTGATATTTTTATAATTTCCTCTGCTTGGGGGGTTATCACTTAACAAAGGCAAATCACCTTATTACAGACGTATAGAAATGTTTTTAGGGGCAGGAAGGACAAGCGAGGTATTAAAACCAAACTGATTTTGCTGTAAATACTCTGTTTATACACCAGCAATCACCAACAGCACTGTATCAAAAATAATTGATAAGAAAAAGCACATTATTTTTTTAAATTTCATTAATTTCTAATCAATAACAATTATTTTCATTATTTGTACGTATTTTTTATTAAAAAATCTTTAAAGTTGATGCAATTTTTTATTATTATTTAATATACATTATTTAATTTTATATTATTTAATTAATTTTTTTATTTAATTCCTACGCACAATTTGAACTTGTTCCTCGATAACTTGCCTACACGTGTCTGCGAATAGTATTCCAGCCGCACATTTGCTTAGTGTGTTAATTTAGTGAATGGTTAATAACAGACTGTTCAGTCTGTGTTTACACTGTTAATAGCTCTCATTGTATGTTAACATGCCGGTGATAGTGTTAGTCAAGGCAGATCTAAAAGGTGAAGTCATTTCAACATCTGTTTATTTATTCGGTGTAAAAATTTCTTTTAAAACTGACACAGCTATTGTTTCTGTTTTTTTTTCCAGAATAAGAAAAAAATAATATTTTAATGGGTTGTTTCGGAACTTTACTTATGGGTATAACCGTTTTTTTTTGGACCGATTTTTCTCAATTTAAATAGCGATTTTCTCGAAAGCACTTCTGATAGAATTAATTAAGATTCAGATATCGTAGATATGTATACTACAACTCTAAATATTAAAATTTTTCCACCTAATTGGGATTTTATTATTATTTTTATTAGTAATCCGTAATGATTCATTTGGCTGAGGAGCCTATTTGTTTAAGTATATAATTTTTTTATTGTTAATTAAGTTTATTTTTTTACTAAATTTGTTAATTTTTATTCAGATGGCCCTTAGGGCCAATCTTTAGGTGAAAGATTAGCGATTAAATTAAAATTAATCCTCGAAAGATGTTTTTGAGTACTCAATTAGTTAATTTTGTTTGCAAGTTTAAGCGCCCAATGGAGGTGGTTTTAATCTTAAGCACGAAATGCAAAAGTGTAAAAAGCTGATGCAAAAAAATTAATAATTTTTTATAAATATAAACAAAGTATAAATAAGAAATGAACTGTTGTCAAAAGTACCTAAGTCTACTGTCATCCGGTACCTAACTCTAAGAATGTATTAGTAGAATTCTCAAGTCAACATAGTTGCAAAAAATCGTATTGAAAAATATTGAAAAAAAAATTTACATTTCAATTTATACTTTGAAAGGTTTCTTAAGATATTTTCCACATATTTTATCTACAAACATTTTATAAACACGTCTATTTGTTTTTTAATCTATAATATTGAAAAAATAAATTATTTATTTGAAATATCTTTTTCGTTTACCATACGAAAATTTACAACATTGTTTTTTTTTAGTTTTAATTTCAACCAACAAAAATTCAATGTCAAAAATTAAAAAATATTTTTTTTTCGTTTGTAAAAATATATTATTTTCGGGCTATTAAATGTGTTTAAATTGTGTAAAAAAATTATAAAATATAATGTTAAGTGATACAAAATATTTCAAAGTGCTATTATCCTCAAATTTTCGCGAAAAAGTTTTGAAGTTTGGAGAGAGAATAAAATTTTTACATATGTGTTGGATTTACACAGCACCTCGTCTGTGAGAAGAGCGTAATGTTATTGTTGTAAAAAATGACAGCGTTTCACTTCTTGTTTATTCTTTGAATATAACATTAAAATGTTCTATTTATTGATTAGTATAAATTATGGACACTTCAAAATACATTTTTTTCTTTTTTTTTTTAATTTAAGTTTTCATTAATTTTCATATTAATTTACAATTGTCTTCTTCTTTTTATAAATATGCATTGTTTTGATAACAAACAGTGACATTTTCTGTTGTTTTGTATGGCAACACTGCGAAGTTTAATCTTGTAGTCAAAAACTTCAAAGGGGATTAACATAATATTAAATTTATTTTTAGATTAACTAATCTGATTATTAATTGGCATTTGATTACCATCTCTCAAAAACTCGCTCTATAACGTGTAATATATAATTATTGGCCTAGGAAGGCTTTTTATATTACTTATAATAATAAATAAATTTAACCCCTTTTAGCATTTTCTTTCATTTGAATAATTCAAAAATTTTACGTCTGTGATTTTTTTTAATATATTTCTGTATTTAGACAGTCTAATAAAGAAATCCATATAGGTTTTATATCATGAGCAAAATCGTTGTAAACAAGTGTGACTAAACGGCTGCGATTTTCATAATATTTGAACCAGGTGTAGCAAACTTAATTTAAACTTCTTTGGTGTAAACATTTTTCTTGCTCTCATTATCTATCCATTTAGAAAACTATTTTTTTGTTGAAATCGCTTAAAAGTTATTTATCATTATAATAAATACTAACATTAAAAATTGATTTTTTAAATATAATTATATTCAACTACATACATATATTTTCTGCATTTAAAGGGTTAACACTATGTTATAAGCACCAAATGAAGCTAATTATGTTTTTCTATATAATACTTAGGAAATGTATATGTGCTTATATCGGCCACTTTTCGAATTATGGGCACTTTTACAAAAAAGCCCATGTTTCAAAATCGTTTTTTTAGCTTTTGGCAATCAATGGGTAAATAATTCATATACGTCATCTGAAAAGCCTTCCCACGACCTTTCATATCATGTTATTTTTTTTACAATCGGACAAGCCATTCCCGAGATATTTAACTTTATATATACAGTATCGTTAGATTCCGTATTAAAAGTACTATCGATGGAAAAAAATTAAAATATTTGGGGCCGTTTTAGAATCGTTAAGGAGTTCCCAAGTGTTGTTTGTTATATTCTAACCTAATTTACCGAGCAGGGTGACGATGAACATACGCCCGTTGTAATGAAGCCGACCAGATTTTCTTGTTAGGTCACAACCCTCAGGCAACCATTTTAGGATTCTTATTTATTTTCTAATTATATATGTATTTCAGACTTATTTCTATTTTTTAGGTATATACAGCTCTGCATTGTAATTTTTCTTGTAGCAGCAATATTTTTATGTATCGTATTAGTACATATCAACATACATGTGTTTTGTTTAGATTCATATATGTTATGTATGGATATAATTATACATATATATATATATA